TCTGTGGTCATTTAGGGGTTAAACAAGTGGCCCCTGTCTCAAGTGCTACAGCCCTGGTTTACTCACTATAACTAAGACTTGTGCAGTAGATAGAGACTAGATGAAGCTGAAGTTAGCTTCATTGCCGCGTTCCACCATAAATGATATAGCAGTTATGTTCAGACGCCTGTACGGACAATACTTCTGTGCGTCAAGTCATTACAGGCAAGACATAAATAGACCAATCAACATATTTCATGTCCACCGTGGTCTGCATCATTTTTTCTCTTAGTAGTGATTCCAAAAATGTCCATCTCAAATTCTTTTAAAGGAAATCAAACATGTAAACATGTTTGGGTTCTCTAGACGAGTGCATTTTTATGGATGATGTCTGCAGTTCTAGTATTAACCTTACGTACGCTTAGTTTGATGGATGTGTATCTCCAACCTCTTAATAAAAAGATATCCTGTTTAAAAAATTTAATTAGAAATCATACTTCAACTTACATGAATATTTGTTTTACTAGATGACTAGTACTATTACTTAAGGGACTTGTGTACTTTTGCCATGTTGTATGAAATTGGCAGCACTAGCCAACAAAGCACCTCAAAATGTCTTACGTCTGTAGTTCACCATGGCATTTCATAAATTGTGTAATAAACTTGTCATTTTGGCATCAGTTCATCAAATTTAACAAGGAATCATTTTTGGCCCATGCATGTGAAATTACTGGGGATTTTATCAGTACAGTTTATTTATTATGCTGGGATTTATAAATGTAAATCTATTGAATAAACATTTAATTTATAATGAGAGTGATATTGTAGTGTTTATTATTAAGGAGCCTGTTTACAACTATGAATGTATTTTGAGTAACAGATATGCAGTCTGTGACTTCAGTTTGGCTGACCAGCCTTTCTCACTACACTCTTTTATTCTGAGCAAGTGCATTTACGTTATTCATGTCAAATACATTTCGTTTGTCAGTCTTACCATCACATCCATTAATATTTGTTCATAAAATAAAGCTCTCCTTCTGTTCCTGGCTCTCCTGACCTACACATTTTTAGCTTTTCTTGTTCAAACACATTTGCCTCACCTCATTAAGGGTTTGATAATTACCTGATTAATTGATTTAGGTGGGTTTGAGAAGGGAAATATAAACACCTGCATGGATTCTCCAGGACTAGGAATAAGAGACACTGAAATTATATATGTTGCTTGTTGCAGGTGAGAATAAAGGGTTTTAGTGAGAGGATTTAAAATTCTATTGCAGTAGGCTAGTTGCATTTACTGCATACATCAATGGGTTATAATCCTTACAGATATAGGAAGGATGAAAAGGCCTAGTCCCTCACTCTACAAAATTGAAGTAGTTTCTGATAGGCTGAAATAAGGTAGTTAGTTTCACTAAGTTTCACTGAAGGGGAAGTGTATGGCTAGAGTTGCTTGCAAACTTGGATGTTTCAGCAGCGGTTCGCCCTTGCTGCTTTATTCAATAAAAGAGCATTTGCCTTTAAAGGGCAATCTTTTGTGTGCCTTATTCTATGCCGACACCACACTGGTGTCAGAAGTGGGATTGCACAATCTTTCCCATGTGTTATTCTACACTGACACCACAATATTTACTCTGTATATACTTTTTCAAGGTACATAAATGTACTGACATAAACTGTATACTTACATTTAGGTTTATGATACTTGTTTAAATATACATCAGGTGACAGACATATGAAATGATTGTTGATCTGTAGGATCTGTGGTGCAAAAATGACCCTCAATCAGCTGTCTGAAACATGGGGTACAAGATAGTTTAGGCCCTTTAGGAATGATACAGATAAATTTTGCCTTTCTCCAAATGATTGATAAGTTTGTCATTGCCTGTAAAGGCCATCTCAGACTACACTGAATCTTCTGTACTCAAGCAGACATTTGGATGATTGTGTAAGAGCAAGCAAAGGGAAAGAGGTGGGCTTCACCCCCAGTCCCATGACTCTCTCTCTCCCCCTCTCTGTCTCTCAGTGCTGTAAGCACAAGGTCAGGGAGATTAAAAGGAAGGATTGTGGGGGAGGGGATAGATGAAGTAGTCAGGCATGCCGTATACAGACCAGGGAAGAGAGAAATTAAAACACTGTCACTTACTGGATGAAGGAGACTCCTCTGTCGACAGTCGTATATCAGTTCAGTGTGCATCGCTTGTCTCTTGGTAACTAGTCAAAAAAGACCAGAATCTACCAGAATGCATTGTGAATGCTTTGGGCTGCTTTTGATGCTATTACTATTACTAATTTTCTATTACTATTACTATTACTAATTACTTATGCTTTGCTCTGAATCTTATAGAAGAGTACTGTTATGTAATTTATTGATTTAAAGAAATAGCATTATTGTTTTACTTCAGTGAGGACACTCAATCATGAAAATTAAGTGCAACTCTGGGTTCATATAAGCACAACAAACATTTGTTTTGGGAAATAGGTGATTTTTATCCGTTATGTAGCTGGACAGATGGACCACAGATAGGAGTTGAAGATTATTGCTGAGCTTTTAACCACAAAGGATGGTGTAGGCTGAGATTAAGTATGGGGTTAAACTTTAAGCTTTCCTTATAGCCTCATTAGTCTCTTGTTGCATTTCACTATTCAGATCCCTTTGTGTGCACAGTTAAACACACTGCATTCCTCCTTAATCTGTCTAGCAGCATGTGTCCATTTCTTTCGGCCTTATAAACGGGCCTGATTAATTTACTTGTGGGAATGCCGTGGTCACCACCACCCTGATGAAATGACTCACCAGAAAGAAAATCACCTTATACAACACACACGAACCACCGACCATGACAATAAAGGCAACAAATGTTATGACAAAAAACAGCAAAAAGCTGCAATGCGTGTTGAAATGTATACTGCATATTCTTATTTCTTTCTAGTCATATACTGTAGAGTGTTATTGTAGAGTGTGATATATTAGCATTGTAAGATATGCTTACTTGGCTTCTGTGAAAAATGCACCATAATCGAATTCCGAAATAGTTCTCATGGATTCTGTTTCTTGCATTACACCATCACACAGACACACAGAGCCTGAAATATGGAGCATGAAAGGCTCTGCTGCTGACGATCACAAGATCAGGTCCCCACGTGCTGCCTGGTACAATGCCTGCTTTTATGTGCTCATGGGATACAGAGGCCTTGTGATCCCAGCGGCTAATTAAGGCTCAGCCAAACGGCCATACTCGGAGTAGCTGTGTGAGTTTTCTTCCACTGGTTCATAGTTGTAAAGTTGTTTTCATCAAAGACTTACAGCTGATTTGCTCATGGCTAGGGAAACACTAAATTGTACAGTGCTGTGGCATCTTGGGAATGCTTTGGGCTCCCCTGACCTAATTATATGTTTCTATGTGTGAAATCTGAGTTGAAAAACTATAGATTTTCTCACTGAAAATGAGTTCAAAGTTCCACCCAGCAGTGCTTAGATAGCAAATCTTACAGATTTAGAGGAAAGAAGCTTTTGTTTTCTTAGATTCCACATTCTTTTAGGAAACAAGCAAAAATACACTTAAGCATATGTTTTAGCTTATTCAGAGGTTTACTTGTTGAATTGGCAGTGCAAACCTGAAATGTAAGAAGGAAAGAAGCAATGAATAGTGATACATTAATTGTATTTCATGAATAGCAGTGAATACATTTTATTAGCTACACTTACATATAACTGTTCGTTTAATCAAGCTCCGCATGGTCTTAGTGACATGAAACCTCTTAAGGCTGTGGGTTCTGTTACAACAGGCGCTGCTAGGCTGCTGCAAGTTTCCTTCTTGAAAAACATCCTTTGGTCAAATAGCTTTTACAGTACAGGGTGTTAATGTATGGAATTCACTTTTTAATGAACTGGAGAGGTTGCCCAACACCTAAAACACACCTAAAAGCAGCCAGTGTTTTGACCATCAGTGAGTTTCCTTCAAAATTTTCAAAATAAGTTGAGAAAATGGTCTTTTATAAAAGCAAATCTAGGGACAGGCATTGCAAATCAGCATAATGATATAAATAATATTTGGCATCAGACAATTCTCTGTAATTTTCTAACCTGATTTATCTGTCTCTGTTATTTGTCCTCTCCAAAATGTGGTTGGTTAGACCCCTGGTGCCAGGCAGAGGTTTATTTGAACACACACCCTCCCTCTTTCTCACTCTATGTGGATATGTCAGTAAATTCAGAAGATCTACCTAATCCAGCTGACCCAGTCTATCTACATAGATGGAGCTGGATTTTGAAACACAGATTAAATGAAAGTGAGAGATTCCAGAGATTCAGTGATCTGTAATAACACTTTCAGTGTTAATCCACAAGGAATTCCACAAAACTTTAAAAATGTTCTGCTTAAGTCATTGTGCAAACAAAGTCATTTAGAGTGGTTGGGTGTAAAATGGAAAATACATTTTAGTACTGTTTTAAAACTCCCTGCTTGAAACTCACCACTATGCATAGATTAAAAAATCCATATCAGACCGTATCTCAGAACTTCATGTAGTAGCTTTCTCAGAGGTATCTTTTAGAGGCATTAAATACTTTGAACATCTGGTTCCTGCCACCACCACTGTGAACAATTCTGACTTGCAATGTTTCTCTAGAGCAAAACAATTTACACCAGACTGCTCTGAAAGATTTTGTTTACAGGCTAATTATTTAAATATGCAGAGATTTCTAAAAATCTGCACAAATTCTCCTTTTCTATAACACACTTTTTATACTTATGAGTTTTGCATGATGTAATTTTCAGAAGGGGCATCAAGTAATACATATCTTCACATTCAGCTAAACCTCAGCTAATGAAACATGTATAAATAACCTAAGATTCAAAACCCTGTTTAAATCATTACCTACAAAGGTGGTGGATGAAAACAACAACATAATGAAAACTGATCTGTATACCAAATGCAATACATCAGGCAGCAGGATATGTGATCTAGCTTTTCTACAAATGTCATCACCTATTTTCTTTCTCTTCTCCAACCAATTTTAGATCTTTTCCATCGTCATCTTCGGCTGCATTGCTAATGAAGGCTATGTGAACCGGCCAGACGAGGTGGAGGAGTTCTGCATCTTTAACCGCAACCAGAATGCCTGTAACTATGGTGTGGCTATGGGCTCACTGGCTTTCCTCAGCTGTGCTGCATTCCTGGCTCTGGACATCTACTTCCCACAGATCAGTGGAGTCAAAGACCGCAAAAAGGTTGTGCTCGCGGATATAGGCATCTCAGGTGAGAAATTTAATGTCTTTAATGTATAAAGTTTCATTTTCTTGACGTTTAGTTTCTGACACTGCATGACAGTCTTACTTTTGTTGTAATATCCTGTCTGTAGTAATGTCCTGTATCCTATGGCAGAAACAGTTATAATTGACACACTGGGGCCATCAGTAGTTGGGTTAAGCCTAATCTTGTACTAAAATGCAGGGCCAGTGGTGTGTCCCATTATTCTGGGTGGAAAAATTGATATTGTTATAGTTATTTTTATTTGAAGCTGCACATCCAAATGGTCTTGTTGTCAAGCTGCATCTGTTAAACTACAGATTCCCTTCAAACAGTCTCTCTTTACACATAGTTATAACTGTGGCTGGCATTAAAATATGTTTAATTATATATCTTTGCTTCTCTTTTGTTTTTTACTTATTTATATAGTCAATTGAAGTGCTCTAATTGAGAAACGGAAGCAGGAGGAACAATAGCTCCACCTTGAATTGGTAGGCCATGCTAACTCACAGAGCGGGTCCGCCTAGTGCAGTGTGTAACCTGTGAAAATCACCTATTCTTGGTTGCGTCACTCACTACAGAGGTCCAGACTGCCTCTGGAGGCAACATCAGCACAACAGCTGTGTATCTGGAGCTTCATGAAATGGGTTACCATGGCTAAGCAGGTGCATACAAGCTTTAGATCACTTTATGCAATGCCAGGTACCTGCTGGAGTGGTGTAAAGCATGGCAACACTGGACTCTAGAGCAGTGGAAACGAACGAATTTATGAACGAATGAACAAATTTAATGGATGCCGGGAGAATGTACCTACCACAATGCATAGTGCCAACAGTAAGTTTTGGTGGAGGAGGGATTGTGGTCTGGGGCTGTTTTTCAGGGTTTGGGCCAGGCCCCTTAAGTCCAGCGAAGAGTATTGTTAATGCTACAGTCTACAAAAACATTTTATGGAGTTATGGAATAACTGAAGTTTGGGAGGAGGAACATGCCTGAAACCCCTCCTCCTTCCAGTCTAACGCCCAATGAATTCACATAACCATCCGTTTCCTGTGACAAGGTTCTCGCAGTGCCCACCACCACCCTGTCTCCTCCCAGTTCCTCAGTCCTATGACAGTCCTACCTCACTTACAAGAGCGACAGGCCAAAGCCACCCTGAACTCCGGTCTAAGTTCTCAGAGTTCTCTGCCCTCCTACAGTTAGTCTTCCTTCACTACCACCACATGTCAAAGGCACAGTCCGAACTAGCAAAAGACAATTATATGTTTCAAACTGTGTGGCAACAAATTCCCACAGACACACTCCAAAATCTTGTGCCCGTTCCCGAAGAGTGGATGCTGTTATAGTCACAAAGTATTTGAGGCAAAGTGTCTGATGTTTGCTAGTTTACTAAAAATCAGTATTTTTTATTTTGTGCATGATCTCCAAATGCTCACCTAAAAGCGCCTTTTCTGCACTTTAATGATATCTTTAATAAAAGAAACACAGAACCCTGTATGGCTGTGCCCCTGTGCACAAAGCAAGCTCCATAAAGACATGGTTTGACGAGTTTGGCGTGGAGGAACTCCAGAAGCTTGCACAGAACCCTGACCACAACCTCATTAAATGCCTTTGAGGATGAATTGGAACGTCAGATGAGAGCTAGGTCTTCTCGTCCAACATCATTGCCTGACCGCATGAATGCTCTTTTGACTAAATGGGCACAAATTCACTTAAACACTCCAAAATCTTGTGGAAAGCTTTTCCAAAAAAAGTAGAGGCTGTTATAGTCAAATAGGGGGAGCCAACTCCATGTTAATGCCCATGGTTTTGGAATGCTCATATAGGAGTGATGGACAGTCTCATATAAGTTTGATAGTCAGGTGTCTACATACTTTTGGTCATATAGTGCATATTTGATTTTCTTGTGATCCTGCTGTATGTGTTGTCATATTTTGCTATGCCAGGGCTTTCCTGAGACCAGAGCCAGTGAATACCTGAGGTTTGCTGTATCACTAGAAATTAATGTTGTTGGTCTTACATACGGACCACATAAAATTAGATTTTGGTGCTCTCTGTAGGTTGAATATGAAACTGCAGAATCTGTCCTGCATTATAAGATCAAGTTGGATTAGTGGTACCATGGCGCCCCCTGAGTGTCATGGTACTCGCAATCGGCCCTCCTCCTTGAGGGACATTGTTTATTTTTTCTAGCGAATCACCGCCGCATTAGGCCACACTGAATCATTAAACAAATTGTGTCCTACATCCAAAAGAAAGGCTCAAATTCATCCTTTAATATCCATAAAAGTAGTAGAATCGTTATGTTTGCTGACGCTGATTCATTCTGTTTTTTACAGCATTTTGGTCCTTCATGTGGTTTGTGGGATTCTGTTTCCTGACCAACCAGTGGCAGGTAGCCAAGCCTGAAGACAATCCTTTAAATGAGGGTGGAGATGCAGCAAGAGCAGCCATCACCTTCTCCTTCTTCTCTATCTTTACCTGGGTCAGTACTACCTTTAATTCTTGCTAACATGAAAGGTACAGCCTCTGATTCCAAAACATCATGCCCCAAAAAGTGATACATTAAATTTACCTGTGCACATAATTTCCACACAGATAAAGTATATTACTGCTGAAAGTATATAAACTATAAGTCAAAATTGAATTACTTGAAATGGTAGTTGAAATGTTAACCTGTTGCATTAATAAAAGGAAAGAAAACACTTTGAAATTCTTAGAAAATAATCAGGATAATCTGAGAGATAATGATTTATATATATTTTGTAATATATAAGTAATGTATTTGTACTCTGCTCTTAAAAGCATCTTATGAGGATATTCTTTGTGAGTAGTCTAATTGTGTTGGGAATTAAAATGGCTTTTCAGGAATTAAGATGGCTTTCTCCTTTAAGCAATAGTGTTTTGGTATTATATAACATAAATGAATTGGTGGACTAGGAATTGCATTAAGAGTCTAAAGATTCACAAAATAAATTATTCAATTGGTGTCACCATTCAATACACTTTTCACTACAGCAAAAATAGGAGTGGCTGAAAATCCCTATGTTATTATGTTAATGTTTATATGTTAATACATTTTCTCAGAGCATTCAGCATTATAAAAGTCCAAAATTTGATACAAAAGCTGCGATTCATAGAGTCCCGATCAAACTTCTCAGCTACAAGTTAACATATTAGCCCCAAGATAACACACTAGACACAAGTTAACATGCTAGCCATGGTGCAATGATAAATTTGATACTATATGCTACAAGACAGTTCAGTACAATACAGCATGTTGTATTGTCGCATCCTTCAAATGTACCTGTATAATTGAAATGTTTCTTAGTTGTGTTGTTTTGTTTAGAATCCCTGTGACACTTTCTTTGTACCTGCTTAAGCGTAATCCTACACTAAATTGCTTTGCTGATTGTCAGTCGGTCTTAATCTAAGACAGGCTTTAGTCTGCTGTCTCTTCATTAGTGTGACAACTAATTTAAACTGTAACTAAGCATCTAAGGTATCTAAATATCTTAAGCTTTGCCACGCTATGCTAGTCTTAAAGTTTTACATTTTTAATTCATTTGCATTGATCTAAATCCAAACTAACCTGTATTCTTTTCCTCATTTTCTTTTAAAAGCAGCCAACCTCTTTTCTCTTTTCTGAAGATAACATGCAACTGGCTGATAAAATTGTCTTTGTTTTTTCTTCCTGCTGCAGGCTTTTTAACGTGTGCTTGCTGATCCAGCATAAACTCTTTTTTTATGCTCTTTAACTTTTGCAATCTACGCTGCAGTCTTCATCTTCATTCACTCTGGAAAATATGAATGAAGCAGTAGTAACTTGCTACTAATGAAACATGCTAGTAATGCAAATGTTAATGTTGATAATGTAATGATAATGAGAACTGCTCTTGGCCCTTCTGTCCTGTAGGGTGCTCTAACAGTGCTGGCCTTGGAGCGTCTTAAGAGAGTTTCGTTTGAAGAGGAGTACAACAAACTGTTCACCCCTCATACTCCTCCCCCCTTTGTCTAACATGCAGCACACTCATAAATGCAACAGTACAAATCTGCCTATGATCATCTACTATGACATATATTCTCTCTCTGACATGTTAAATAATCACACAGTCTCAGTGTGTTTGTGTTGACTGTTATGTGTGAGAGATGACCAAAGTACATCTACACTGTGCTGGATCTGATCAGGTCTGTACCCATGGATTATTTCAGGACTTAAGTAAATGCAGAGTGCTATTCAGAGGGGATTCGTTTTACATGAATAAATTTAACATGGTTTAAATTTACCAGACAATATCTGTAACCATCTGTAAATGTTTATGACCAGTTCACACAGTTTAAGTTACAGAGATGGGAGTGGCTGATTGATTCACATGTTGCCGTCACAACAAAAAGTTCCATGCATTTGTTTTGCTGCACAAGTAGAACACTTCATTTCGATTAATTAGTCAGAATTTTGTGTACCCTGACCATCTATCTAGCTGTCTAAAGTGAATTTGTCATTAGCATGGTCTTATGACAGACTTGGTGGATTCAGACAGTATTGAAATCACTGGGAAACACCAGTAATAATTAAATTACCCTGCCTCACTATGTAAAACTAATCCAGTCCAAATAGTACTTTAGATAGAATAAGAAAATGTACTGTGCAGAGTACCACTGTGGCCATGGAATGCTTGTTTTTAGTTTTTTTGGGTTTTTTTTTTCATTCTTAAAGTCACAATCAGGGATTAGTAAAATGTGTTTCATTAAACCAGTTTGATAAGGGGGAATATACCACATCAAATCTTAAGGAAAGCCATACCTCATTGTCATTTGCACCATCTTATGTGGTAATATGAGAGTATTTGCTTCTGTTTTTAAAAAAAAACAGAAATAGAATAGATATGTATATAAAAAAATTCAAAATTTAATTTTTCTTGGTCCTTGATTATTCACTTCTAGCCTCTCAAGTTAAGAATTAGTTCCTTTCTTTCAGTACTTGTAATAGTAAAGCACTCTGACTACAACTTTGTGCTTCTGAAATCCCTGATTGTGGCTTCAGATACATGTTTTAAAAGTTCACACCAAAAATCTTTGGACAACAAAGACACACTAATGTGATGTGACGCTTTTATGCCAGGGGCTGTAAGTGCCTTATATGTTCAGTGAGTATTCTGTTGTCTCTGAGTCTTCTTACCAGTCATGCATGGATTATAGAGGAGAGAACCAGCTGACTTGAAGAAATGGATCTGAGTGATTGTGTCTTATTTGTTTATACACTGGAGCAGGTTTCTCTTCTTCTAATTCAGTGCTGGAGAGTGATCTATTTCATGGAAAAATAAAAACGTTTTGAAGATGTGATAACCCTACGGACATCTTGTTTTTCTTGTTTATGTGTTCACATCTGGTACCTAGAGGGCGCTACTTACACATGATACTGCTGTAGCTGTAATGGTGTCACTCTGCATGCTTGTTATTTTAGGATTTTAGATGTTTTGGAGCAGCAGCCCGTCATTTGATGAGAATTATTGACTTGATTTTCATTTTTAGGTTCCAATCATTTTTGTTTACAGTTTAAATTATGTTAGTTCAGACAACAGTTGGCGACATGTTTGTCTTAATTTGCAGATGTTCTGATTATATTTTGATGTGTGCTGTTTATGAATTGGACCTTTTTGTTTATCGTATTAAACAGCCCTAAAAAGTACTTACAAGAAGTGATATGAACTTGTTTTCGTTCTTCATGCATGATTCTCTCTGATCTATCTGTAGATGCATAATTATCTTCCTGAGTTGATCTCTCTGAATTTCCTCAAGATGCATAAGGGAGAATTGCCTGTAATTCAATGTATATAATGTATCAGTTTTTTCATATGTCAGCCGAAGTATGTGGTATCTGATCAATTACAACCTTTTAATTCTAGGTCTTGGGGATCAGTTTTCAGTAAATCAGTTCTTTATTTGTTTCAGTTCAGTTTATGTTTAAACTAGACTTGCATGCTTCCTGATTTGAACTAACCAAACTAATGTCTCTTCCTTTCTCTCTCTCCACCCCCTAATCCTTTTTCTGTCATTATGTATTGAATAATGGCCACACTTTCATTCTCAATTCCACCTTTGGTCTGACAAAACATAATCACCTCTTTCTTCCCACTCCCTGATACTATAATACTCATTCCCTTCCACCAAATGATCCTCTGCAATCCCTTCCATTCATTTGCTGCCCACCATTGTTTACCCTTGAACCCTTTCTCTGCTGGACCTCTCACTTCCTTCAGGCTGGTCAGGCATTCTTGGCCTTCCAGAGGTACAAGCTTGGAGCAAGCTCCAGTCTCTTCTCCCCGGACTACGCTGACCCCAGCCAGGACCCGACAGCGGCGCCCCCTGCAGGCTCGGAATACACAGGCTATACGGGAGACATGGAGGCTCCAGCCAATATGGATTCCTCCTATTATGGCTCTGCGGGCTACCAGGGCCAAGACTACTAAGGTGGGTTGGAGAGGCTGAAGGAGCCTGGAGCTCAGCCATTGTGGGCTGGGCTTGTTGAGCTGTGATGAGGACTTACAGGTTGAAGAATGCTGAACAGAGAGGGACACTGGGCGGCATTGTTTTAACCAAAGATGGTTAATCAAAGACCTATGGTAATTGCAGGGCTAAAATAGGGTATTTAGGGGTTATTCTATTAACAGTTTGTATAGGGATTCTTTGGTGAAAGGACATTAAAGGGGTTGAATTGGGTTGAGGGGGCTCTGCTGGTTGGCTGTGCATGGGAGCGGTTCAGTCTTTGCAAAGCAACTATGTAAGATAAAAAATATTTTTAAAAATTGGAAGAATAGGAATTTTAACAGAGGCGTTTTAGTTTTTGTGTGTATTCCAACCATTTTGCCTTTGACTAAAGAGAATGGGTGGTGAGATGGCATCATTGTTGGTTGGTCACTTGTAGTTTACTGTTAACCTCCACAGTAATAAAGCTTACAGTTACAGGAATTACAGAAAAGCATAATTCTAGCACACAAAAATAAACTAGCTTTTACACAGATAAAAACCCTAATATAAGTAATTGGAAAGATAAACCCATCAGTGTGTAAAGTGACACAAAGGGAACCTATGCTTGATGTACTGTAAGCAAAGAGTGCACCAGTCCAAGTGGTGCTGAAGACCACAGTGTCTTGAGCTTTACTGTAAAAGCATTACTTACGGTCTACTACTAATTAATGTTAAGACCGTCCTAATAGAATTGACAGTTGGGGTTCTCAAAACCACACTTCATCATTTGTTGCCATCATGTTTTTTTGTGTTCAGTATAACATCCAGTAATCCAGTTATGTGTATTCAGCTCATATCCAATGATATCACCACTAAATAAAACATCACTGAAGAAAAATTCTTAAAAGAATCATAAACATGAGATTGTGATGTGGTTTTGTTATGTATTATATCCCATTTTATATCAGCTAGGTAAGGAAGCACATTTCCACTACTTGAAATTCTCATAATTCAGAATCTCTGTTATCAGGGATTAAGTTGAATATGTAATAGTAGCTTTCAGATATTAAAAAAGTATAATATAGTATCTCAAAATACTGTATCATAATTCAAACAACACTGAAGAAAAATACAAAAAGGTGTATGAGTTGTTTGGAGTTGTATCTTATAATTATGAGAAATTCTGAAATATTAAGCTTTCTCATTGTTATGACATACTCCATATCTTTTTTTTCATCTGGCAAAAACCTACTTTCTGCATGAGCTACAGAAAGAAATGTCAGCTGCCCTTAGCATTTACATACTTTGACTGGCCATAATAAACATAACATTGAAATGTAGTATCTTTAAAGACAAGTATAGAAATGATGCAATATCAGTTAAGGGTGTTTATGGCTCAGCAAATGTAGATTTTGAACACAGTCCCTGAACTAACCTATCAAGAGGTACAAAGAAAAGAAAGAAAAGGCTTTTTAACACAAAAATCTTCGATCCTCAGCCCCAGCCTTACTGCAGCCACAAGTTCCACGTTGAAAAAATAATAGAAAACTGTAATGATGAACAACAAGTCTTACCTCTTTGAATACTGAACGTGCTGCCTAAAGCCTCTAATTAGCACTCATAAACCAGCAGGTACATCTGGCTAGAACACTGATCACATGAGCAATGGCGACACTCATTTCATGGGCACTTGGGCACTAGACAACCTTACATACAACAGCACTTTCACAAGTCTTACAGCTGTACACCGTAGACCTTACCCGCCAATACTAATGCTTTAAGATGCTGTAGCATGGCACATGTCAACTTCTGAACTTGTTTACTTTTAGAATGTGTTTGGTTCCTCTTTAGGGCCCTTGAAATAGTGTCATCTGTCACTTTTTTTCATCCAGTGTTTCAGGGGAATACTTTGACTTTCATTTGCCGATGCTCTTATTACCATAGATTCTGTGTGCTAGTAGAACCGTGATGCAGAATAATGTACAGTCAGTCGACAAAGTTATTTTAGCTGTCTATCACAGCATATTGGAGTTGAAATTAAATAAAGAACATGAGCTTAAAGTACACCAAGAACAAACAGGAGTTGAAGACGACCTGTCAGAGCATTACTAGAGAAGAAATTCAGCATCTGCTGGTGTTTATGGGTTTCAGGAGTTATTGATTGCAAAGGATTTGCATTGAAAGGACAATTTACTTTAAGGTTATCCAATTACTTTTGAGCTTCTAAAAATGGGGGCTATGTATAAAAATGGTTGTAATTCCTACACCTTTTACTGCTCAAATTAAAGCTGAATGTCTACAGTTTGAGCTCATGGTCATTATTTAATTTACGACAACAGCAAAAATAACTTTGTTGACATGCAAATATATTTATGGACCTCACTGAAAATAAAAACATTTGAATATTTTTGTTAAAATGTTGCTATGTGTGATGTGTATATGGACATTACAAAACCAGCATATTTTTATTTCATGACAGAAGAAAATGTATAATACCATCAAATATAGAAATATTTATAATTTATTAACATCAACTTGAAACAGTTTACATAAAAAGAATAGTATAATTTTGAATAAAAATATTATATTGATATAAATATTACAAGTAAACTACAGTATGTCTCCATGTAATGTATTTTGCGTTTGAAAGTTCTGTAGAATAAATCTGTGTGATGTTTTCTGAAGAAGAACACATTTTTTCTCTCTTTCTATATTGTTCTCATGTTGAAAAGCCTGTTTTGGGGCAATACCTTAAAAAGGGGGGAAAAACAAGCTACTCTGTGTACACAGTGTAAAAGGTGTCTGTGTTTTCAACTGTGGAGTTCAGATACATGTAGTGTTAATGCTTCTGATGTGATCATTGATTAAATCAGTCAGTCAGTACACTAATCAAAGGGTAAATGTATTTAATCATGTCTTGTATGTTGCTTGTTTGAAAGACTTCTGATGTTCAGTAGATATAATAAAGAAACTGAATGAAAGCTGTTTTTATTCAGTTATTTTTTGGAGTAAACAACAGGATGTAGAGGAATTTAGGCCTTTTAAATGTGTACAATTTTATAATTACGGTACTGTATAATTATGGTTGGTGTAAAGGTAAGAACTTTGTTTTTGAAACTTGTTTTTTTGCAGCTTGTTGTGATGTCCAAACTTACTGTAACAGAAATTGTATATGGTGGGCTGTAAGTGAACATCATCTCTCTGAGTACAAGTCACTGGAGGGAACATCCTGGTTGCGTAACTCATGACTGGCATACCATATCCATACCATACAGTGTGCTGAGCTGTCAGAACGAGCGTTAGTGACATCAATTCCTTTATTCGTCCTGTGTGTCAGGGAGAGAGTCGCAGTAAAGGACAGAGATGTGTGTGTGTGCGTAACCTGAGAAGTTGGCTGTCTTCAACATCTGTCAGCAGTGCAGTAAGTCATACCAATGACTGAAACTCAATGTCACATAGACTCACCCTTAGCTTCTCACTATAGATACACTGTGACTATTTCACTTTTCATTTCCATGTACATACATATAATGGACTCTTGAGTCCAAATTTGGGGATTTGAGGCCCCAGTAAGGTTCTAGCACAACCGCTTCATCTGTTGTACATTTTATTACAGTGTTCAAGAAAAAACATCTTAATTATTATAATAGTAGACACTGTCTTGCCAGTTGCAGTGGTCCTCAGTTGACTCTTTGTAGTTGGACACGAACATTCAGAAACAATCCAGTTCAGTATTAAATAATAAGAAAAAAATGTGTTGACCTCCAGCTTGGAAAGCTGACTTTATATCGCTACCCACCTGTTGAAAATATTGTATTTTTAAATGTGATGGCTACACAAAGTTATGGTATATTTTTTCATTTTATTTATTTATCCAATATGTTAAACTCAGCAAATAGACTGAAATTGTGCACTAAAATTACAGAAAAATGCCACATTGAGCTTTGACAGCAACCTAACAACCTAACAAAGATCCTGTTTTCAAACCTTAAAAGTAACTTTTCATCATGTGTTTTTCCATTACTGAGTTGTGTGTACATCACAGAATTCACTCCTTTTAATCACTATCTTATCCTGGCTAGTTCTTACAGTGAGAGCTAGTCAGGCAAAAATACAGCCTTCGCATGGCAAGTTTAGCCTCCTAAACTAAACAAGTCTGTAATCCTCCATATAAATTTAATACAGATAATTTTTATGCACAGATTCATCAAAAACATACTGTTAATGTCAAACACGTGTATGTGAGATATATTTCGATGTTACTGTTCTGATATCAGCTCTTCAAAACAAAGTTGTTTTACACAGCTGATTTTCACTAATCATCTATGTTCTGATAAACATATTTATTGTACTCAGGTTGGAAACCTTGTCAGATTCAAACAGCATATAATTACTGAATTAATTGTATTTTGTGTTGATTTAGCAGACATTTAGCAACTAGCACCTCAGTCTCTTTCAATTAACAACACCTGCAGGGGTTAGTTGTAACATTTAAACTTGCCTCATTTTTTGGCTGAATTGTTTTTAGGCAGTAGGTGCTGGATACAAAGTTTGGTTTTTTACTCTGAGAATCTTTGGAATCCTTGGAATCACAGCTCTGATCTCAAATTAAGTTTGTTCCAGCCAAACCTAATTAGAGATTAGAGTTGTGAGGGTTGATAATTACCTTAACAATACAGGCTACCTCATAATGAGGCCTACAAAGCACATACAGCTACTTCTATTTAGCATTTGTTACAAGTTCTTGATGAAATCAGTTCCTGATTTAAAACGTCATGAAAGACCTTAGCAAGCATTTCAGCAATTCCTCTCTTCGTCCTGTAAATCAGCTGCTCTGAAGCCCCAGCAAATGCTGCAACTGATCAAATTAGGAAAGGTAGTTAAAAGGCTTAAGCATTTGCTCTTACGATTAGCTGTTAATCTTTTGTAGCCCCTCATGTGTCTTGTTTTTTCCAGAGCTGTGATTCCACAAGCTGGTTCTCTCCTCTCAAACGTGCAGTAACTCTTCGAATGTAATTGTGTCTCCCCAACAGCGACAAAAGCACAACAGACAGAGGACTAAAATAGTTTCCATGTTGGCTATCACTCATCTGAGTTTCCACATTAGTGAAGCCTGGCCCTGAAGCTCCGGTGCAGCCATAAGAGCTGTTAAAGAGCCCAGGCAGGGTGGGGTTTGTGACTGGGGTTATGTTTGGGTCTCTGTGCTTCCACTGTGATGATAACAATGGTGCCAATAGTGGCTGCATGGGTATGGACAGCAGACAATAGTGTTCATTAAAATACTGCTGATATTGAAGAAGCTGCAATATGCAAATAACTACAAAACACAAATATGGAATATCGTTATCAAATCTCAGAAGTTCCAGATAAGTTCCAGTGAGTGTTTGGATGAATCAGCATATTGATCAACAAACATAAATAATTTTGATCAAAATAACACAGGCCAACCATTAAGCCTTGGACGTTGCCGTAATTATCACTGATCACTAAAATGTAGTGATGTTATGTGACTTATTTTTTACTTATAGCTTTTTGAAACAAACCAAGAACAAACTTTCAGTCGATGCCACATTTGTTCTTGTTAGTAGAAAATGAGCTATAATGAATTCAGATTGATGAAAAGTTATTGTTGTACTTACAGTCTTGTTTTGCAGAATGTAAAAACAAATGTCTCAGTAAAGAAGAAAAGTTTGGAATCGCTTTCAATTTTATATAACATAAATCATTTTCTTGCAGGTACATGTATAAAATAATACTCAGCTAACTAGTAAGAAGTGTGAAAAGTGAAGATGTGTCTTAGAAGTTGAACAGTAGTAGAGGATTCTAAAATAACAGAAATTCACATTCAGAATGGCGCATATTTAGAAAGTGGTGGTCAAAGTTCAGGCAGAAAATGTTTTAAGAAATTACTACAAATATAGATTTATGGTCATTTTTTATCAGTTACTAACCTCTTTATGTCTTGATAAACCATTTTGGAATATGTTTTAGTGACCAGTGACTAGTTATTCCAAACATTTGAACGTACTTAAGCAAACTACATAATTCATTCAAGTAATTGTGCAATTACATTTATACACTACATCAAAATGACAGCACTTACTCTTTAATTCTAAGGGCTAAGCATGTCAAGGATTCAGCTGTGTGCCTTTATATATTGTCCCACACCTTGCCTTTATTACAGCTTCCATTCTTTTCAGGAGACTTGCTTTCAGTTTTCCAAGGAATTCTGCAGGAATATTTTTCCACACGTCCAAAGTTCTGTCTTAGAAGTTGGCTGCTTTTTCTGTTTCTCACAATCCAAGTAATCCTAAACACATTCAATGATGTTAAGGTCTGGACTCTGGGGTGGTCAGCAGCTTCTTTATTTGAATTGCAGATCTTCTTTCCTCTTATCAGTACCGGCTTCTTGTCAGCTACACATTCTTTCAGAGTCATAGTGTTGAGTTGTCTTCTCACAGTGGAAGGATGGACTACCAGGTCTGTATCCTTTAACTCCTTAAAATTCTCAGGCTTATTAAATACTAAGGATTATTATTCAGTAACTACAGGGACTTCATTGCAAACTGGTTGAGTTATTAATTTTTTGAAATCCAGTTTTTCAAAACTTGTTTTTTTTTTTCCTTTTTTCCTGTAACTTTCATCTTCGTTATGCAGGTGAATTATCTTCTATATCACCTCCTCAGAAATATTTGAATACTCGGTGGATGCTGTGACTGAAAATTATATACATGGAGGGTCTATCGCAGAGTACTATATATTGCAATTGCAACGTGTAGTAATATAATCATCAGCGCTTGACCACCTGTCTCAAGCATGTTTAGTGCTGGAACAGAATGAATTTGGACTGGCTAAGCATCCCAGAGCACCGGATTCAGAATTCCCCTGGTTTGGGTAACGTGTGTGTGTGTGTTGTGGGGATCATTTTCAGGCATCGGGGGAATTTCTGAACCACCGCTGTCCTGTTCCAGCACACAGTGTGTGAGTATGAGTGAGAGTATCAGGTGTCAGCACAGACAGACTGTGGAGTGAGGCCATCGAGTGGAAATAGCATCAGAGGCTGTATAAAAGACAGGCACTCACATCCTCTCACTCATTCACTGAAAGAGCACTCACACATCGAGCGAAGGGTCGAAAGAGCAAACCAAAGATTCTCTTCAGAGAAAGAATCAGAGCCAGAAAAGCCTCTTCAAGAGAAGACAGAGATCCCTTAGACTAACAGGTAGAAACACCCAGGTTGAAGATGCAGGTGTGCACAGTGCTGGAGAAGCGCGGTGGCTGTGTGGTCGGAGCTGAGCTGAGCTGCAGTGTGAGAGAGGAGAATGTTTCCAAGAGAGAAAGCTACAGCGCCGACTGGCAGAGCGTCAACATGAAAACACAGCACGAGGACCGGTGAGTACACCCTCACCCACCCACACACAACTAACTTCAGCTTTAAACACCACAAAACCGATTGCTCGCTCTCAGAACAACTTACTAATTGGTTTCAAACAAAATCATTTGTACTGGTTACTGAGTTGAAAGCTTAATTAGATTAATAGCCGAATAATAAGCCTGCAGTTTAAGGAGTTAAAGTGTTGAGACACCAGATACTTAATTCTCTTAATGTTAATGACAAACTTTCTTTAATTCTCTCTTCTTCTTTAATCCAAAACTATAAATCTGCATCTAGTTTCAATCTTAGGAATTCCGTTTTCTTTCCTCTAGACGTAAAACTTAAAACTTTGGCACCTAAAGGCCTCCAAACATATTCAGATAAGAAGCAGTAGCCTTGAGAAAGATGTATGGCAGTCATTAAGAACAAACAGCTCAACCTTAACCTCTTAAAATCCCAGACTAAGCACAACCTATGGTTTATTACTCAGTAATTACATTGAATAGAATACAAACCACTTGATCTGTGCTTAAAAGGCCCATATCCTACATTTTTTTTTGCACTTTAGTTTTTTCCTGAGGTCCCTGAGGATGGTTGTGTGGGTTATGTAACTAAAACAGTCTTAATTAGTTTTTACCTCTCATTAGCCTTTACAATTAACTAGGCTTTTTTTTATTACAGTGTCTTTGGGACTGACATATTTAAATCACCTCTCTTCTGATTGGCTGCCTTAAATTGTGCCTCATTAAAAAAGCAGTATGGGCTGAAACACTCCTTATAACCTTATAAGCCTGAATCGCTCAGTAATAACCCTAAAGGGGTTAATCACTTTTCTCCTATGCTCCTCTCTGTAGCCAGTCCATGGTGATGTCAGACGATTCTCGGCGGGAGTCTATGTCCCGTTACTGGCAGGCCCGCCCCCTCACCCAGTCATGCCCATCAGGTGTGCGGAGAGTGGGCACTCTGGAGTCGGGCGTTCGGGAGCACCAGCTGCTGCCCTTCAGAAACACCCTCCCCCTGCCCATCTTCAAACCAGCCGAGCTAGGGGTCAGGCTGGGCCGCGGCACCCCCCACACCCCAGAGAACTTCATCCCCGCCTACGCCCCCAGCGGAGCATGCCCAGACAAGCGGGACATCCAAGAGATCACCAAAGAGCTGCCACCTGTCAAACCAATCCGCATGGAGTTCGCCAAAGCGCCCAGAACACTGGGCAGGTCCATGTCCCAGGAGGCCCAGAGAGGGTGAAGAGAGAGTGCGACAGCAGGAAGAAAGAAAGAGAAAGAGAGGGAGCTGAGGCAAAGAATGTATGGACTTTTTTGAACTGTGAAACAGTGTTAAGAAAGAGAGACTGCAAATGTAGATAGAAGACAAAAGCAGTAGAAGCTTTAACTGCTCCCTCCCTGTTAGAGACTGATGTTGTTGATGTTGCAAATTTTTGCAAGTGATTTTGTATAGAGGATCTGAGCTGTAAATAGTATCTATTGATTAAAGAGAAACCTCTAGTCAGATAGAAGCAAGTTGTATGCTTCAAGTAAAGCTGTTTTTAAATGTGAGAAAGAGAATGAGAGGAAGAGAGAGGTACAGCATGTTCTTAGGAAGATACTGTAAAAAAAACCTGTATAAAATAGCTATAGGTTTGTGAAAGCTGGAGTCTTTGAGTATTGTTCTGGTTGGTTTGCAGTTGTATGACAGTACTGAGTATAGAACGTATCTTCATATGCCAGTCTCTCCTGAGAGAGAGAGAGAGAGAGAGAGAGAGAGAGAGAGAGAGAGAGAGAGAGAGAGAGAGAGAGAGAGAGAGAGAGAGAGAGAGAGAGAGAGAGAGAGAGAGAGAGAGAGAGAGAGAGAGAGAGTCAGGTTCAGATATATCTTAGCCATCCTTCAAGTTCAGCAGTAAAGAATGCTGAGTCTGTTCAGTGTTCAGAGAAAAGAGATAAATGTTTTACTTTTGTTAAAATGTAATTGCATTGTTTATCAGCTGTTTATTCACATTCACTGGTTAATAACTCAGAAATAACTAACAAAACATGGGTTTGAGACTGATAGTGGTCTTGCACTGTTTTTGAGCTGTTTAATGTACTGATTCCATTAATAAATGACATTAAAACTACACACTGCTTCAGGCCTTTTTTATGTGTTAAAATACACATTTTACCCTTTCCACCCTATTATTCCATTATTAATCTTCAATCTTATAGATTATTTATGTTTATTATTCAGAAGCTATTATGAAATACAGTCACATGCAATAGTTTGAACGCTCCTGAACAATTTGTATGTTTTATTAACACAGTCTACAGGGAACTACTAAGTTTCACACTTATATGGAGTTCGTCCCCCCCTTTGCAGCTATAACAGCTTCCACTCTTCTGGAAAGCTTTCTGCAAGATTTTGGAGTGTGTCTGTGGGACTTTTTGCCGTTTCAGTCAAAAGAGGTCAGAAACTGATGTTGGATGAGAGGGCCTGGCTCACAATCTCCATTCTAGTTCATCCCAAAGGTGTATGATGGGGTTGAGGTCAGGTCTCTGTATGGGCCAGTCAATTTCTTCCACACCAAACTCAGCCAGCCATGCCTTTATAGACCTTGCTTTGTGCACTGGATCACAGTCATGCTGGAACAGAAAAGGGTCTTTTCCTAAACTGTACCCACAAAGTTGGAAGCATAGATTTGTCCAAAATGTCTTGGTCTGCTGAAACATTAATATTTATGTTAATAATAATATATTATTATTATTATAATATAATATACTAAGGTGTCTAAGCCAACCCCTGAAAAACTACTCCATATCCTTATCCCTCCTCCACAAAACCAGTTGGCACAGTGTAGTCAGGCAGGCAGGGTTCTCCTGGCATTCACCAAACACAGACTCGCCCGTCAGACTGCCAGATAGAGAAGTGTGATTCGTCACTCCACAGAATGTGTTTCCACTGCTCCACAGTCTAGAGGCAGTGTGCTTTACATCACTCCCCCCAACACTTGGCATTGTGATCTTAGGCTTGTCTGTAACTGCTCAGCTATGGAAACCCATTTAGTGAAGCTCCTAATGTGCAGTTCTTTTGCTGATGTTGCTTCCAGGGGCAATTTGGAATCTTTAGTGAGGGATTCAATAGAGGATAGGCACTGTGCGCTTCAGCACCCGGCAGCCCCACTCTGTGAATTATCATGACGTGTCGCTTTCATTTCACAGTAATAGCACTTACAGTTGACAGGGGCAGATCAAGCAGGACAGAAATTTTACAAACTGACTTGTGGCAGAGGTGGCATCCTATGACAGTACCATGTTTAAAGTCACTGAGCTCATCAGTATGACCCATTTTACTGCCAGTGTTTGTCTATCGAATTTGCAAGGCTATGTGCTTAATTTGATCCACCTGGTAGCAATGGGTGTAGCTGAAACACCTGAACTCAATAATTAGAAGAGGTGTCCCAATACTTTTGTCCATATAGTGTAGTTTTACATATTTACATTATGTGTTTTACTTTTTCTCAGTATGTTAAATTCAGCAAATAAACAGTAATTCTGCATTAAACAGTGCAGAGGTATGTTCTCTGTACAGGACGTGTGGACTTTTTTTAACTTAAAAATTAACAAAATATGTAAATTGTTCTAGGGTGCATAATTTAATGGCTGCAACACAAATAAAGTCATTCAGAGTGGTTTGATGTGAAATGGTTCGTTGTAGAAAAACTCTGTTTTCTTTACAGTGGTGCTGATAAGAACCAGGGGTTGCAATATTTACAACACAAATATAGCAATTTTATTTACTATCCAAAATGACCAGTGACCCAACACATGTCTTTTCAATAAAGTCTCATTTTTTGTAATGTTAATAATGATAAAATAGAAGATTTCTGTGGGGACCGATTTGCCTTAGAACACCCTGCAAGTACCTCTTCACCAGGAATGTTTAAAGAAAAAAGAGTTCAAGCCCAAAAGCTCACCTTCAAACTATCATAGAACAACATATCAGGCCTCAGGTAGTGTATTCATATCTATTTCATATAATAACTTTCTGTCAGGTGATTTATAGAGACATAAACCTCTTCAGATATCAGTACTGTGAACTATTCTGACTCTGGATGACTTTATTAACATCTTACCCTTATCTTTTTGTTTTAACTCAATGGAATTTATCTTCAAGAGGTTACAGTGATGCTCAAAATATGCTGAAAGCATTTGACAATGCAGACAGACAGAAATGAGTTGAATGTGTAAAATGGGGTCATTCAGATTTTCTCAGCTGTTCTGTGGGGTATTAAGTCTACTGGGAGAAACAGGTGCTTTAGCCCTGAAATAGTACAAACACTCACTGTATAAACTGAATTATCATATATCATACACGCAGGCCACCGCATTGCCTTTTCAAACAATGGTCACCGAGTCCAGCTGTCATAAACTGTAGGCTCATTGATATTAGAAGCTTATCATGGAAAACAAGTTGGGGAGAGTGGAGATGAAGGCACGAATGGAATGAGAGAGCAGGACTGGCTGTCCTTTGGCATCTTTCCCTTTTATTTTTGCCAGCTTGGTAGTTAGCATGACAGACCTTCAATAGTCTTTCTTTAACAGTTCACTTTACTTAAAAAGTTGGCATTGGATAAGTAGCCTCCATTTCTCAACTGAGGTTAATTTTAATTTAATGCTGTGATAACTATAGTTGTGCATAAAGACATGAAAACAACAGAGATGAAAAATGAGAAGAAAAATCTGAACTTCTCATAATACCTGAATACTCTTAATGTTTGTCATTTGGCTGCTGCTGCAAACATAGTTTTCCAATTACCCTAAATGTAATTGATTATCTGAGACGTGTCTGGAGTCCAAATTTTGCTTCTTTAGCTCAGAACTGTGTTTAGCAGTGAGGCTAACATTACTAGCAAGCACTAGAACTCAGTAGTCACCCAAATAGCCCTAATAATTTCTGTAAAAATACATCATCAAAATGTCTTTTAACCACTCAAACTGTATCCAGGTCTTCATTAAGGTTGCAAAGACTTGTCAGTGTAGTTTAGGACACAGTATGACTTACTGTAAACTATAAAAATGAACAAAACTGCAGGCAGCCACTTTAGACCACAGACTACTCAGGAGTTGGAGTGCATCTTTAATAAACACCTGGAAGCGGTTTGAGAGAAGTTTTGGGGATGTGTTTTTATACAAATGATCTGGGCTATTTGGGTGACAAATGAGCTCCAGTGTTTGTCAGCAATGTTAGTTTTGTAGCTCCAGTTCTAAACTAAAGACACAGAAGTTGGATTCCAAACATGTCTTAGCTGATTGACTACATTTGGGGTAAGTGAAAAATTGGGCAAATTTGATTTTTCACTGAACAATTCCTTTAACAGGAATGGGCTGAGATATAAAGTAGGCAAATACATATAAATGTCTTGATTTCAGAACAGGATGCTTTTGCTTCTTACTTTCCCATATATGTACTGAATGGACTGGGTAGTAAACAATTGAATAGTTCATTTGCAAAAACGGTAAACACCATCCTTTAAAAAAAACAGCTTTCTGAGTTATTCTGAACACACAGCACATTCTGAACCCTTAACACGTTTTGTCACAAAAGCTGTTATTGTCCACTGTCAAGGCATTGCAAGTTCACGTTTACAGCAGAAACAGTGAAACGTCAGCGCTGTTCTCCAGCAGAACCTGATAAATCTGTTCAGTCAATCAGTGCGCAGTATTTGGGTCAGGCGTCGCAACACTGCTGTGAACTGTTTTAGACAGAAACTGAAATGGTTTCCTTCTCCCTACAAAGCGCAGCACGTAGGTCTTAAAATAATGACTCCTGCATCTAGACAGAGCACAGTGTGTCTAACAAAGAGCCACTGTGGACTTCCATACTGGACATAAAGTGCAATATTAGGGTGTTAAAGCCAAAATTTCATAGCTCACATAGTGCACTATATAGGGAGCAGTGAGCCATTTAAGATGCAGCCTAAGGATTTTCCCGAGGTGTGCTGAACAATAATGGACTGTATTTGTTGCAATTTCCAGATTTTTACCTGCTTGTTTTATGTTAAAGAAGGTTGAATATTGCACTTCAAAGAAACTTATATCTATTAAATGTTGTTTAACTCCGACCATACATGAAATGAAAAGTTGTATTTTGTTGAGTTACTTTTTCTTAATCAAAACAACCCAACAGCAGTTTGACTGATATTACCTGGAATGCACAACAAAAAATGTGATTTATGAAAATGAATTAAAATGCAGATATCTATTTTTTGCAATCAACTGAGTTAGAGGACTAATC